TGAAAGGAGCTGCAGCCACTCCAAAATTCACTGTAGCCGTCCCCTCCCCTCCTGTCCCCCCACGTACCTTCCCAGCACTGCTGCTGCCTGCCCTAAGCACAGCCTGGCTCAACACCCCTGCCAGGAACAACCTGGCACAGCCCTGGCCTCAGCCCACAGTGCCCTCGCCCTGTGCACTGATCCAGGGGCACATTCCTACCCCCCCATGCATCCCCTGGGCCCCTGGGGGTGCACGCAGTGTTAGAAGCCACGCGCCTTGCGCACGGCTCAGTCCTGTGCCCTGTCCTGGTTGGGCAGCCCCTGGCCCACTCCCTCCCTCACCATGGGGACCTTGGTCTGCGCCCCCCCCCCCCCTTCCCCCACAACAGACTGACCAGCCAGACCCAGCTGCGGTCCTGGCTGCCTGTGTGCTGCACTGCAGCTGTCTGCGCACATGCAACATTTATCAGCCATGTTATTGGCCACATCAGCAAAAAGGCTAATTGCCAATATAGTCAATTTTCCTTATATTGGTGCTGATCTGATATGGGACCAATGTATTGGTGCACCTCTATGGTTTAGTTGTTTGTGGAATTGCTACTGTATTCCATATCTATTAGGTCCCTTGGCAGTTCATTTTCAGAGCTAGATTTTTTTTGGCCAACTGTCCATTTGTTGAAAAATGGAAATGTGGCCAACATGAAATGATTAATGAATTCAGGCTAAATATCATAAACATTTTTGGTTCAGTTAGAAATTTGAGGCAAAATTCATGATCCATTTTGTGAAACTAGTTCTTGGCTTGTATTCAAGATGCCTAAAATCAAAATGATTCATTTCAGTTGAACTGTTACAAATATTTTTCTTAATTCCATAAAATTTCGGGGGGGAGGAGGGGATTCTTTAACTGTACACAAGATTTATTTTTTAGTTGTTTCTTTTTTGGCCACTGAAGCAAAAAAAAATCAGTTATTTGCACAGTCTTTATGGTTTAATCGGTTGATCTTTTCATCAAAGCTGCAAGACAACAAAGCTCCTCTTTGATTTTTTTCAAACAGAAGTAGCCACACAGTTGAGAGCCCTCAGTGGGAACTCACAGCTGCCAGGTGTTGAAAATCCAATTTCAGTTCAATTTCACTGTTATAAGCAAAGTGCTAAATTGAGCTCTTGAGGCTGTTGTGAAATCACCTGTTTTTATTTGATGAAGAAAACTCCACTGTAGTTTATAACATGGTGTTCTGTTTGCCAGGTCCCCTGTGATGGCTTCAGTGACATTGAAACTCTTGGATGTCCAAGTCATTTTTTTGAGGATGAGCTGATGTCTATCCTTAATATGGAAGGAAGGTGAGCTTAGTATGAAAGCAGGTAGAAAGGGAAAATATTTATTACCTTCTTGCTGGGTGCTCCTATAGTTCTGACTCCATGTCCTTTTACTCCCTTCATGTAAAAATATTTGAGACCTAATTCATACATTCCATGTCCATTATAGTAACCTAGAGTTAGTGTGGATGGTGTTAGAAGAACTGCAGAGTACAAGTCACTTGGTCGAGCCCACCATGGGTCCCACAGAAAGAGTCCACATGGCTTGCATAGGGTTGCACAGAATGTCAGTGGCAGAGCAGGGAATTGAAACTGGCCCTCCAGATTTCCAAGTGAGCACCTTCATCACTGGTCCATTCTTCTTCACAGAGTAAGGGCTCAATGTTAGGAAGCTTTTCTTGATAGTCATCTTTTTATCCCTCAGGTAGTGGTGGTCTGAAACTTCATAATAAACTTAATAGCAATGGGAAAGGATTTTTGTGGGTGATGGGTATCTTTTATTGAGTAAACAGCATAGTTGGAATAAACTTAAACAAGCTTTTGAATGCAGTGCATTCTTCTTTGGGCAATATTTTCCTGATGGGAAACCATTTATAATGTTTTCCAGTGAACTTGGCGTTTGGCCTCAGTCTGCTTATACTGCATTTTGTTGGCTTCCTTGAAATGTCTTTGAAGGTGGTACAGCTTTGAAGCTTTTCTCCTGAAATGAGCTTGATTGACTTGTATAGTTATTATTCAGATGCAGGTTTATTTGGTAAAGCGTAATGTGGAGGTCAAGCCAACATACGTGGCTCTTGTCTGCATAAATTTTGGTTGCGACTGCTAATCTTTGTAGAGGTGAGGTGGTGACCATTGTCACTGAAATCAGACTCTGTCTCAGTTTCTGTTTGACAGTGGCATATAAAAATAGATTTTTTTTTATTTGGAACGAGAATAGAGTTCTCTTAATACAGCCTAGTAGCCTCTTGTCCCTACTTAAGGTGCTATTAGAAGGTATGAAAAGGTATAATCCAGAATGAAAATATGCATATAATTTCTCTTTTTCCATATTCATTGTGTAACTCCTGTATTAAAGCTGGGGCTAAACATTGCACATTGGGAGCTGTTTAAGCACCATTCAAGCCCTTGGCTTAGCCAAATGCATCCCTATAAAGTAGAATTTATGCTAATTATACTCTGATTAAGCTGTAGTCATTGCCATTCAGTATCATTAGGCTAAATCACTTCGCTGGAAGATGTTCCAAAAAGCGGCTGTCCCTATTGAGCATCCTGAGTAATTAAAGGGCAGTAACATTATAAGATGTGATTGTTTATCCATTCAGCAGGATGAAGAAGACTTGTTTGGTTTGTGATTTGGGGGAAAAGAAAAGCAAGGAGAAGGAATTATTTTCACAGAAACAATTCAAATGCGTTCTAAATAGCAGCAATAGGGTGTGATATAAAATTGTGGTGAAAATAAATGGAAATCTGCCTTGATACTCTGGGTTTGGGACCTGTGCATTTAAGTTCTCTGGAACTGAAGAGACCAGTGGATGCATTCGGTAGTAAGGTGCTAAAGGCCAGTGTTGACCCTGTTTGGCAGGAGTTGTCAACTGGGGGTATGTGTACCCCCAGGGATACTTGGAAAGGGCCAGGGGGTACACATGGTGGGGCAGGAGCACTGTCACCCACCACCCTGTGCTGCCTTCTTCCAGGAGCAGGGTTGTGGGGGCGTGAGGGTAGTGGCTTCCCTCTGTGGGCCGCACAGGCGCCGCCCAGACTGAAGGTGGGGTGGGGCTTGCACGCAGTGGCCACCGTGGCCATCTTCCATCCCACCCGTCACATGCAAGCTTCTTCCTTCCCCCCTGCTCTGCCAGAACTACCCAGAAAGGGTACACTCCCAAAAAAAAAAAAAAAAAAGGTGAAAATCCCTGCTGTTAGCTATAGTTGGCATGCCTGTAAAACTGGGACTATTGGCTTTTAAGGCCCTATGTATGCCCTAACTATATTCAAAATGACAACCTTCAACCTCACCTGACTGGGCCTTTACTGTGGCAGGCTGTTGTGTTTTGAGCTCTGTGCTATGTTGTCTACCTGACAATCTCTTCATACCCAACTCTCAAAATACTTATTTCAGCATACCTTTCCTGAGAACTTTTGCCCCTTTCCCACCTTTCTTGTGTTGATTTTGTTTTTCTGTTGAAATCTTTGAGGGTATTTTATTTTAAGAGTCTGTATTCTGTAGGGAGTCAAAGGGAAGGTAGTGATTTGTAAAGAGAATATTTGGTTTTAAACGGACATTCCTTGGAAATCTCTGACATTATAGCTGCCTTGAATGCCATTATCACAATATTTTGAAACTTTTGTTAAGTGGCATCAAAAGTATTGCTGCCTGTAATGAGTTTGCCCCAAATGTTTATATCTCTGCCTTTATCCTCAGATCAACACTGCTACAACCAGCACCTCAGACACATTTCTGCCTTGCTCTCTTGGCTCTTCTTATGATATCAGATTTGTTCTTCACAAAACAAAGGACTTGTTGACACACTGTTCAACTAAGTTGTGTTGGGAAGAAGTGCTGTGAAAACACCTTCTGCTTCCACTCCACTCATGCCAAAAGTTGAAAAAATGTAACCTAGCCACAACTGGAGGAGCACAGGGTGCATGTCAATAAGCTGCCCAAGCCAGGGAGCAATTCTGGATGCGTGACAAAGAGCATCTGCAATGCATTTTTTGGCATTTGGCATGCACAGATTGGGCGCGAGTGGGCAGGGCATGTTTTCATTACATTGGTCTAAATTTCAAATCCCTATGAACTGTGAGAATCAGACTGAATATTTGTACTTAGTGTGCTTGCTTGGCTTTCAGTACTACTTCTTATATTTCTGCAGGAAGGGTCTTACCTGGAAATACTATGCAAAAAAAATTCTATACTTCCTACGACAGCAGAATATTTTAAAAAACCTGAAGGAATATCTTCAACAGCCTGTGGACCAGCAGTCATTTTTGGAAGGTGATTATAGGACTCTGGCTCAATGAGACTTTATTTAAATGTGTGCTTAAATTCATGCATATTCAATAAAGGCCTTAGAAAATGTTTAAACTCAAGTACATTTTTAAATGTACTTGGCAAATTGAGATAAACGGTTAAATTGATGCTTAGGTGCCTCAGAAATGTAATGTCTTGAAGTTTCCGTAGTCTAACAAGTATTTGAGCTGGTGCAGAAATTTTAAAAAAACCACCCACCTCCTCCTGAATGAAACAACATTTTTATATTGCCCTTCCACTACCATCACAGCTGAAAAGAGAAATTAAAAGGTTACATTTTATATACAAAGTAACAATGACTTCTCCCTCATTCCCCCTCCCTCTGTTTCCTAGATATGTTTCATACGCACCTGGCAGCTCTAAAAGAGTTGATGCAAGACTATGTCCAAGTCAGTACTACACAGTTCTTCCAGCATAGCAGTTTCAGCTAGATATGTGAATAGATCACCCCCCAGCTGATGTAACTTTGCTGGTTAAAATCCTTGTGTAGACCCAGCTATGCTGAAAGAAGAAGGGTTTTGTCACTTCAGCTTCTCTCATGTGAAGAAGTATTATATCTATGTTGTGATATGCTGTGTCTGAATTTTGGGACCCTATTTTCTGTGTATACCTGTTATATTGTAATAACTGGGCAAAGAACATGCACTTTAATGAGAATTATGGCTCCCTTTGCTGTTTACAGACAAAATACCAGTATAAATATTAAAATATCAGTATTTTCACTTTGTCCTTAAATGTTGATGTTAAAGCAGATGTTTCAGGCCGTGTCTATTTGAATAAGAAAATAAGGATCCATCTTTGAACATGAAAAATAATGGTCAAAGGACCATTATTGAATCCTTTGAAAATAAGGATCCATCCTTGATTTAGACAGGCTGTGTATTCTTTAATGTCTTTCTACATACAAATAAAATCTATTTTTATTAACTATCTTCTAGTTTAGTTCCTCATGATAATACCTTTCCAAAGGTACTTGCTGTCATTTCTTTAAGTCTTCAGACAATCTCATCTTTTTTAAAAATGTTTGTTCACTACTGTCATCTTGAGAAGCACTCATGCTGTGCTGTGAGACTGGAGAAATATCAATATCTAGTCTCACAATGATCTACTTCAGTACTCCCTTAGCAGCATATTATAGAGAAATTATATGTAACAAACTGGTAGAAAACCTCAAGGAGTCATAATTACATTTGCTTTTGCACTCGGTATACTTCCTAAAATGTTTGGCACCTTTTTAAAGGTAAAGCATCTTTTGTGTGATTCTTGCCTTGGAAAATGTAGAGTTTAAGTGGTACTGGTGGACAAGTAGCTTACTCTGGAGAGACTAGGTTTAGACTACAGAATATATAGATTTCTCCCAAGGTTTAGGAAAGAAGTAGTTGGTTTTGATGTGTACCTTAAAACTGCAGGAAATTGAGAATTAAAAAATGTTCTAGAACTTACTTTGCTTTTATCGTACACAAATCTGATTGTGTTAGTAGACATCAGAGAAGGCAGCATGTGGTGAAAGGAAATACAAAGGGTGCTACTTTGTGACCTTTCTAGGTCCTGCTCTGGAATGGATATTAACTGGTGATCTTCATTATGTACATAGTGAGTTGTAAAGATACCAGAGTGTCTCCAGTACAGTTGTCAGGTGGATCCATGCAAGTTTTAATATAATTTAACATGGATAGCAGCATCAGTTAAAAAATGACAGCATGGGGCTTTACTCTGAGCTAACCACCTGACTATAAGCCTGCCATGAGCTTTTACTCAGTTAAGCAGCCCAATCTGAAGCCTGAGCTGTACTCTTACCTAGTATCTAGTGTAGGTTTGATTGCCCATAGTCACACTTCCAGTTCCAGCATAAACCTAAACCTACCTTGTGGCATTTTATGGAACAAGGAAAAACAGTATTTGTCCCTTTTTCAGAGATCTTAGACTTGAGTATAATCACCTCAATAAGTTGAGTCATAGGGAGGTTTTAGAAAGACAAGACAACAAAGAAGTCTTGGAAGAAGTGGTTTTTTTTTTTGTTTTTTTTTTTTAATGCTAGGGTTTGATATATAGAGGACACTTGGACCAAAAAAAAGGTAAATTGTTCCAGTGTAGTGGACATACTAGGTGAAGACTGCTAAGAGTGGTATGAGTAGATGAACAAAGAAATAAGGAAAAGGATTTTGGGATAAGCAAGAGTGGAACAGAAAGAAATCAACAAAAGCAGAAGTGAGATTGAGACTGAGACTGTGTGATCTAAAAGAGGAGTAGGTAGAGTTAGATATGATGTGAGAAGAAGCTGTTGTAGATATTCAAAGAAAAGAAATGGCTTATTGCAGACCTAATCTTCTTTAGGCTTCTCTCTTCTGCCTTGTATTCCATTACTTATATTTTCAACCCCGTGGGGGAACATATTGTGCTTGGGGAAAGCAGGAGGCCGTGTGCTTGAGTTCTGAAAGTCAGTCTGAGATGTTACAACAATTGTGTTGCTTCTCTTAAATAAAAAGACCTGTAACATTGCTATCAGCATCTCATTATTTTCTGCGTTTATATATGACTTTTTCAGAACCAGTGAAAATTTTAAATGGAAGCCTTACATTTAACCAAAATCACTTACAATATTGAAAGTAGGCATATACAATTAAATAAGTAAAAAAAAAAAAAAGGAAATCCTTTATATAAAAGAAAAAAGTTTCTTTTTTCCAGGTGCTGTCTTAATTGATCAGTACTGTAATCCACTATCAGACATCTGTCTAAAAGGTGTCCAGGCCCAAGTGGATGATATCACAGATAAAGTTCGCAAAGACCTTCGGACAAAAAACCCTAGACATCCAAGCTTGGCTTCAAAGGCAGGTACTGTATAGAAATACTTGTTTTAGTTGGGTCTTCTTAAGTGACACTAAATCTGCAGTTTTTATTTGAGTGAATAGACTTACTGGATTTCACAGTGTATAAGTCAAGGTTTGAAGCCTAAATATTGACCCTTAAATTTCCACCTCGATTTATACACCTTATCTTGGCAGTATTCTGCTTCCCTGGCATCCAGCAGCTCCTAGTCTCCTTGCTGTAGTGCTCAGGGCATCAGGTAGGGAAGCGGCCAGGATGGGGGAGCTGCAGCACAGAGCAGAGAGCTGAGACTGGCAGGAGTGCAAAGCCCACGCTCAATGGGGCAGCGGGGGCGTGGAGCTCAGGTGGGCAGGGTATGGGTGTGGGGGAGGATGTGGGTGTGTGGGATGTGAGGGAAGGTGGGGGATGTTGGGGACAAGGCAGGCAGCAGGCCCACACAGGCGCTGTTGCCCCACAGTGTGCAGTGGTGAGGAGTGCAGCCTGCCCGGCCCACCTCTGTTGCACCGCTTGCAGGGGCTGGGGCCCTGGCAGCCAAATGCTGAGCCTGGTGCCGGCCCCTGCAAGTGGAAACGTGTGAGACTAGCGCCACCCCTCGGGTGGCCTGCCTGCAGTGACAGCATGCAGGGGCCCTATGTTTTGACCCCATATTTCCGATCCAAAAAGTTAGGTTGACTTATACACTGGATCTACGAAAATCCTAACTTTTGAATCAGAAAAATGGGGTGGGTTTATATACCACATTGACTTGTACACTGTGAATATGGTATTTGGTTCAACTCTTTTCTTTTTAGTAGTCCTACCATAGAACTAGGGAGAGTATTGGCATTGGAAGCATCCTCCTCTTCCTTGCAGAACTTACAAAGTCATCAACAGCCAATCCACGTATTTGAGTAGCTCCTAAAATCCAAGGGAAAGGAATGTGTCTTACAAATCTTGAACAGTTTTCTTTAATGTTTGTTCCCTTTCAAGGAGTGACCATCCCATCTATTTTTACTGTCACTTAAGCAGAAGGTAGGGCAGAATGGCACCTTAGAAACTAAGTGGTTCAGAGAGGCATAGGGTTTTCAAGTAGGCTGTTGCCTATGAAAGTTCATACCTTTCTGAACCAGTTAGTGCAGAGTGGTGCCTTAGAGACTGACATCACTAACTACCTCTCTGCTGTTACTTAGGTAAAGTGTTTTTCTTAATTATATGTTTTAGGAGAGTTCTTAATGATTCCTGAAGTGGAGCTTCAAAGGCAGGTACTTGATGCTATGAACTGTGTCCTGTATGAACAATTAAAATACAAAGGAAATGAGATGGACTACTACAACTCTCTGAACTCATATATTCACCAGGTAAATGGATGTATAGTGAAGCAGATTTTGAAGCTGCTCAAATATACAGTTCAAGGAATTCTACTTATTTTGTCATATTTGTGTCAATGTAGTTGAATAAGTAAGTAGAATTAAACTGTTTGCACCTGCATCCCAAAGGGGAGATTTGGGTACATTCTCTAGGATAGTAACTTTTTTGTGCATTTGCTGGTGGATTTTGAGGCATGGTGCGAGTTGAATAAAAAGAAAAAAATCTTTTTTTTTTTAATGCATTGATTAGGATTTTTAAACCTCCTTTTTGATTCAAGTCTTACTTTTCAGGTTTTGATCCGCAGGACTGGAATCCCAATCAGTTTATCTATTCTCTATTTAACAATTGCCAGGCAGTTGGGTGTCAGACTTGAGCCAGTCAACTTTCCTAGTCATTTCCTTTTGAGATGGTGTCAAGGAAAAGAAGGGTGAGTTATGTTTAGTTCCAGTTCACTTCTGAATAGTGAAGGCCATAAATCATTTGTACTTCTTGTGTCTTGCTATGACAATTATAATTTTTTCTATTATTGCACACATAATATGACCTTGTCTGTGGCACTGGAAAAGTGGAGATTTGGAGCTGGGCTAGATTGCCCTGTGCCTCATCTGCATATAAGTTTTTGGTCATTTAATGCTTCAGACTTATTTTTCCTGCTGTAGCAGTGGGAGGGGGGCAAATTTAAGGCAAACTTCCAATTTCTCTACCTGGAAAATTATAATAAATGTTTTATAAAGATATTCTAATTATGGGGGGGGCTCATCTTATATTCAAGTAACTACAGTATTTAACCCTTTCTTCTATTACAGTTAGACAATAGTTAGTTTAATGGTAAAACAAGAAACATTTTCTGAGGTCACTAATACATGCAGGAGCATCTTGTCCCATATAAACCTGAGCAATCAAATTAATCTGTTGGAAACTCAAAAAGTGAATTCACTCAAAGAGCTCTGAGAATAGCTCTGCAGGTAATTGAACGGTGAAAGATTTTTTGCGAGTGACATACAGCAGTAGTCACTAGCAGGGTTTTTTTGGCTTTTCATTATGGCTATTTTAACTTAGTTGCGTTTAATACTGCAGGCAGTACAGCTGTTAGAAATGTATTATATTGTACCCTGTACCTGCCTCCCTTCTGAATCAGTATTGGTAATCCGTCAAATCGCATTGGATTGACTGTTGGCAGTGGTTTTATTCCCAGAAGTACAAAATTCAGGGGAAACTGCAGTGATATCATTTAATAAAATTAACCTGGTAACATATACCTCTCATGGGAATTTGACTAATATAGATAGTCTGTGCTGCAGTGGTTTCTATTGTATTGTAATCTCTGGTTAACCAAGTATAGCTTTGTAAAATATCTGAGCGCTAGTGAAGCATCCATGGAGATGGCTCCTTTTTTAAGGAAAGAAATGGCACAACTGATAAATTGATATGTTGTTCAACTTTTCAGCACATGTGTTGAAAGAGAGCAGATAAGAAGAAATTAACTGTAACCCCTGTCACAAAGAACCTGAAGCTCTGATACTGTTTACTTTAAACTCAAACTGTAGCAATAGGTCTGTGAAGAAGACAGAAATCTATATTGTTATTTAGCTTGAGACATCCATCATTTCCATTTTATTTCTTTGATGTTTTATTAGAAGCACAGATATCTTTGACTATACTTACATAGATGCCTTTGGAAAGGGAAAGCAGCTCGCTGTGAAAGAATGCGAGTACCTTATTGGCCACCATGTGACTGAGGAGTTTTATGGAGTGGTGACTTCAAAAGAGGTCTTGCAGCGTATGGTGGGAAACCTCTTAAACCTTGGAAAGCGGTAAGACTTAATTCTAAGTATTATGCAGAATTTAAAGCCTTAAGTAAATGAGGAGCAAATCACACTACTTTGATCATTGATTCTTTATGGCAGCCATGAGCAAGTGGCTTTGTGAGGTATGTTAACTTTGCCATTTATTTATTTGATACTTCTGGCCATCACTTTTGTTGCATGACCTTTAATCACTCCAAGAATATGTCTGGTTAGAAAAAATACTGGGCAAAATTCTTTTCAAATAAGCAAATGAACAGATTTTTTTTTTCCTTTTGGGGCATATTGGTAAGGATCTTGAGAATCTTCCATTATCGCCTAAAGAACTATGATTTTTCTTTATGAACTGATGCATCTCACACAATCATTTTGCTGTGAACACAGTGGGTTTGTCACCAGTGCACCTATGATCCTTTTTCTCTTTGTGTACCTTCACATTGCTAAAATGATGCTCGTTGTAAGAGGCCAAAATGCACAGGGAGAAATAATTGCTACAGATCACTTGTAATAAGACAACCAAAGATGCATTAAGGGCAAGCAAATTTGGGACTTAATGAGGTCTCAAAGGGAGCACCAAAACTCAAATTTTATACTTTTTTAATGAAAAGGAATAGAGTTTGAAAGGATACTATCTAGTGCAGTCCTCCCCAGTGGGTTAGTGGATGGTATTAGTAATAAATCCCTCGAGTCAATGCAGTTGGATGGTATTTTATATTGTCTGTGTTGATAAATAGCTCTGTACATTTGTAATAAAAGGAAATGAAGTTGTAACATTAAAACTAAGTTTTTATTTTTTGCTTCTAGAGAAAGTACTGATCAGTCTTACCAACTCCTGAGGGACTCTTTGGATCTATACCTGGCTATGTATCCAGACAATGTGCAACATCTAATGCTCCAAGCTAGGTTATACTTCCACCTGGGAATCTGGCCAGAAAAGGTATGTTTTTTTTCATATGCTTTGTGATAGGCTAAACTATAAAAACAGTTAGCTGTTGATTTTTTTGGGGGGGCTATGACAGTTTGTTATAGTCAGCCAAGATTTTTTCCTGTAATAAAAATAATTTTAAGGAATGATCACATTCCAAAATCAATATCTGCTGAATGTAGAAGAGATCTTCCTCGTGGTGTTCCCCACTGCATGCCTGTGGACAGTTTTTGACCGGAGTCATAAGTTGTTGTTTGCTTTCTGTGGCAATATTTTTCACTGTAACATTAACTAATAGGGACTTGTGATATATTTTAGTACCTTATCTCTAAACTGAGACAGTCTGTTTCTGGAGAGACTTACAGCCTGACAGCTGTAAGATATAAAATAACTCATATATTTGGTTTATGCATGGTTTTGGAGAGTAGTAGAACTCTTACTGGAGTGAGGAAGAAGGTTACTTAGTCAGAAAAAATCTTGGAAATTCTCTTTTACTAAGCTTTGTCCCAGAGCTCTGGACATATTACCACTGACTGTAGCAGGGCACTTGGGGTTCCTGCCACTTTAAGAGGTCAGGTAGCCTGCAGAGCCTCAGGCAGATGTGGGCCAGGCTTGATTGGGAGTCAGCTGACCCAGGGAGCCACAGGTGAGGCTAAGTCTGATTGGAGGGAGTCAGGAGGAGGGCTGGGTTTGGAGCAAGTATAAGCCCAAGCCCAGAGAGGAGCCCAGCAGTAAGATCTGGAAGCTACAGAGACCACCATGCCAGCAAGAGGGCTTTGGCTTCAAGAGATTAGCAGGGAGCACAACATCTGAAACAGTCATGAAGTTTGGGAAGGAACTTTGGGGATGAAGGATGTTCCTGGGGACCCAGTGTGGGGTCCAGAGCCCTGGGAAGGGGGCTCAGGGTCTGTGGGCCTATGGAGGAGCCAAGTGAGCACTAACAGAGGGACTGAGAATCTGTGGACCTACTGTAGGGCCAGGTGAACCCAGAGAGGGGGGCTTGAGAGTATAGGGGAAAGAGTCCAGGTGAACCCCAGAGAGAGAGGGGCTATGTTTGTAGGATTTATGGGAGGCTCTGGGTGAGCCCAGAGAGGAAGAGATCTATGAAGGGGGCCTGAAGGTGGACCCATAGGAGAGAGGGCCGACAGCCAGAGGACTGAACCATGGAGTCTCAACTGGCCTGTGCAGAGCCAGGACCAAAAAGTTGTAATAGACCACAGCAGAGACTGCCAGAGCCAGGAAAGCCTGGAGTTCTTGTCTGGTCCAAGGTGGGGCCAGGGCCTAGGAGGGGCTGAAGGCCTATGGGGAGCCACAGCCAAAAGGAAGGGGTCGAGGGGTGTGTGGCCCAGCATAAAGATGGCAGATGTTGGGCCAGTTGAGGAGGGCTCAAGAAAAGGAGTCCAAGAGAGATCTGGTGCCAGTGGGCCTGGAGGTTAAGTCAAGTTGGAACCAGGTCGCTTGGAGGTTGACAGCCCAGATGGGGTGGATAACATCCAGGGGAGGGAGCCCAGAGAAGGACCAGGAGCAAGACCAGGAAGGCCAGAGACTGGTCCTGGGTATGATTGAAAACTGCACCCTATTAGGGTTTGGGGTCACTGTGGTAGGACTGCTCTTGGCAGAGCAGCACCTAGAATGTGCCACCAGGGCCATACCCCAGGGAAGGGTGAGTTTGGAGTGCCCTAAAACCCCAGCTCCTGTTGCATTGTGGGTGACCCCTTTGCAGGGAAAGGCTAGCAGTGTGCACCCCAAAATGAAAGTAAGGGCAGGTTTAGATGGTCCAAGGGGCTGGAGAAGAGCAGGCCCATGTGGGTCTATTGGCCCAGTGGGGGGTCAGGGAAGAGTGGGATCATGTGTGGGGCAAGGGCAGGCTGGGGGCTGCACTAGCCTCTTACTGACAGGGTGTCCGGGCTGCGGCGGTGCTGGGAGAGAGGGCTACAGGGTGGGTTAGAACCACCCCAAAATTCCCAGTACTGACCCCATAGCCCCCTCTCAACACTGCTGCTGCCTGCCCTGCCCATGCCTATCCTGAGCATAGCACTGCCTCAGCCCCACCCTGCTTGGAAGAGGCCAGCACAGCCCCTGGCCCTGAGCCTACAGCACTCAGCCCATCACCCCATGCAAAAATCCAGGGGGCACATCCCCCCCCCCATGTGTCCCCCAGAGCAGTGGGATCTGCCCCACCCCCCACACCACCTGGACAAGCTGCCTGCAGCTGTGTTCTGCCCTGGCTGGGCAGCCTCTGCTCCCTCCCTCCCTCCCTCACTGTCAGGGCCTAAATCTGCTCCCCCCCCCGCCCTTCGGTCCACACACATGCACAGACTTACCACCTGGATGCTGCTCTCCAAGCTGCCAGGCTATGGTCTTAGCCAGGTGTATGCTGTGGTTGCATGTATGCACACAGCATTTATTGGTGACATTTATTGGCATTTTTCTACAGTGAGGTTTTGCATATACTTTAGGAAATTCAGTTCATGTTGTTGTAGGGGTTACCCTGTAAATTCAGATCAGTGCAAGTCTCTTTACTCAGCAAGGTCTTAATGTTCAATTTTCTCATAGAATTTCCCCTGAAGATTAAGCCAGGTATTGCCTGAAATTCCTGAATACACATAAAGAAGTAAAATTCAGCATCCTGCCTGCCATTGGACACCTTGAAGTAAACAACCATCCCTTGTGGCCTCCCATCTCCTCTACCTTCTGAGCCCTTGGTGCCTCCCCCACTAGTCTCCTAAGCTCAGTAACGTTGGCCCTTCTGAAGTCAAGGGCTTTAGCCTTGGTGTGAGTCCATGACGCCCTGCATTGGATAGTGAAATCTAGCAGGTGATGATTGCTATTGCCCAGGTGGTCAAGGACCTGCAGTCCCCTCACCAGGTCACTGCCCATGGCCAGGACCAGGTCCAGCAAGGTGTTACCCCTAGTGGAGCTGTGCACTTCCTGGATAAGGTGAAGGTCCTATAATACAGACAGGAACCTACGTAAGTGGTCAGACCTGGCTCTCTGCTCTCAGCAAATGTCTGGGTAGTTTAGGTCACCCATGACAATAACATCCCTTGACCTAACTGCCTCCATAAGCTGACTGGAGAAGTCCTGGTCCAGCTCTTCCCCCTGGTTGGGTGGTCTGTAGTAAACACCCACTGTAAGGTCCCTTCCGCCACACCCCCTTTGAAGTTTGACCCATAGTGTCTCCGCCCGACCCTCCTCTAACCCGAAGCTAATCCTTGATGATGTGAGGTGCTCTTTGACATAGAGCACAACCCCCCCCCTTTTCCTCTCTATCCTGTCTCTTCTACATAGGGTGTATCCCCGAATGCCCGCCGCCCAGTTGTAGGTAGGGTCCCACCAGGTTTCTGTGAGCCCTACTAAGTCTGGGTTCTTCCTCGCAATCAGGAGGCACAGTTCCTCCTGCTTACTCCCCATACTACGAGCATTAGTGTAGAGGCACCTGAGGCCTCCTGAGGGTGCACGTGCCTCCCTCCCACCCCCAGGACAGTTGTGGCCCCCTGCTCCCTGGACATTGATGCTTACCTGGGCTTCCCTTCCTCTTGTCACCCTGCATGCTGGTGAAGCATCCTCTCTACTCGAAGCGGCCCCTTCCCCCAGCGAAGCTAGTTTAAAGCCCACTGTATGAGATCAGCCAACCTAGAGGAAAAGATATGTCTGCCCTTAGGGGAGAGGTGAAGCCCATCCCACCCCAGCATGCCCTCCTTACAAAAACATGGGTTGTTGTCCAAAAACCCGAAGCCTGCCTCATGGCACCAGCTCTGAAGCCACCGGTTAACCACGTCAATGCAGGCCTCATGACGTCTACCCCATCCACTTACCAGGCCTCATGACATCTTCCTACTTCATTACTCGGAAAAGAAAAAGTTCCTGGAGTAAAACTCCTCCTAAGCTTTAGGAAGCCTGGTGCTGTAACTGAAGTAAATGTCTACATTTTATTAAAAAAAAATCACCAAGCTTGCTGCTGTCTAGATTGAATGTCAGACTTAGAGTTTCACCCGCTAACAGAATAGTGCACATTAATGAAGATCTTTGTCTGGGGATCCTCAAGTAGAAATGATAGATGTACTTCAACAGGGGACAGCATAATGGTTCAGAGTAAATTCCCCAGATGTTTGATTTTTCTCTTTGTCACATCGCAGTGATTTGAAGGTTAATAGGTGATTTACTTTCCATCCCCACTTCACATGCCTGCAATTTGTTGTCTTTAACGACAGATGATTCTTTATACTGTTAACACACACCTTCAAATTGCCAGACATACTGAAGATCTGGTGTCAATTTAATGACCGCTAAGGATCCCTGCACTGTATTCAAGTGTGTATGGATTAAATTCAGAGTTCTGAAAATTGTGTTTTGGGATTGTGGAAATAGGATTCACTTAGTGGCATACACGAATGACTAACAAAGAACCTACCATCTTTTCCCACTCAAATGTGTTTTTAACTATTTTGTATTAGGCTGAATATTTATTGTAAGAGCTCCCTTTTTGCAAAGTATGAATCAAGCATAGAAAAAAATAAACCAATAACAGGATGTCAGATTTGGTAGTGATTTTTTTAGTATGGAGCCAAGCAAAGCTAACAGATATTTGCTTCTATCTCTTAAATGTCTATCTTTGCAAATAATTCTACTTTAAACAATTCTACTTTATCTTCAAAAGCAAAAGATATAAGACAGTTGTGATCATTTTGTCAGGACTTCCCCATTTCACTTTTTTTTGACTTTCTTGAGACACTAAATTATAAATAAGACTTTTTGTCTCGTGTGGTATGTTGGACTTGGGCGGAGTATTCTGAACTGTGTAGCACTACCCAAACCTTCTCTTCATTAATTACTTTATGCTCTTCTTCACTGCTTCTATTTAGATTCTTCTTTTTCAAGCTCTGGGTCTTAACTACAGGCCAGACAGGGTAGGGCTTAATCAATTACTCTTTGTGCTTTCACAGATTTTCACTGTGCTGCAGCTTCTTGTAACAAATACATATGTAACCATTTTGTAGAAATTGTCATGGATTCTGAGAAAGGAACAGTTGAGGGATGTGGCAGCTCTAAGAACTGTAAGGCTGTATTGGTTTTTAGCAACAACACAATGATTGAGGCATTTGATACTGTGATTAGATGCGTTTTCCTCTCTTGCTACTTTTTTATAAGTCACATGGGGTTGGGGCTAGTATTTTAAATTCACATTATCTACCTTCGCAAACTTTCATAGCAGCTAGCCTGCCCCAGGTTGACCTTGTTCTTCTTGCTGTCACTATACCTGACAGTGATGGAGTATGTTAGCTTGGTATTTCCTGAAATGATTGGCAAGAAAATAATTAAGTCTGAAATCCCTTGAGGATACTTTTAAAGGTTAGCATTGTTTAACCTCATTGAGATGAATGGGATTCATGTCTATTAGAGTCGTTTTAGGTTGTCTGCAGACTCAGGCAGACTCATTATATCACGCTTTCTCCCTTCTCCCCCTCAACTGTAAAGGCTTAAAGAGTCGTTATTTTTCAAAGAGAGTTTAGTTTCCAGAGCACAGTTACGCAGAAATCTAGAAAAGGCTGTTTATATTGCTCTGTAACTGCATCATGTGTGGCCTCCTGGCTATAAAGGTGGCTGGACTACTTAACAGGGCTCTGGCCTCACTTAAGTATCCTTTTTTAGTAATACATCTGTCTGTAACACATTTCTCAAATAGTCTTGTGATGATAGCTTGGAAATCTGGCAACAGCATTTGCTTAAGATCTTGAATCCTGAATCTGTTTTTTAAGTCGTAGCCATGGGAGGAGTTTAGGGTAATAGCTGGTGCCCTTGACTCCGCTTCTGGGAAATGAGGAATTAAGTTAATTGGCTTTCAAAGGAACTTCTTTAGTTCCTCCAGTCTAAACAGTGCTATGGAACACAGAAGTATTTTTAATTAAAAAAATGAATGTGATGGGTTCTTTAGGACTAGAACAAAGATTTATATAGAGCAGCAATTTGTGTCAAGCTGACTGGCTGCATAGATTCGTAGATTGTAAGGCTGGAAGGGACCTCAGAAAATCATTGTGTCCAGCCCCCTGCACCAGGCAGGAAAGACAACTGGGGTCCGGTGACCTCAGCAAGGTGATTATCTGGTGTCCTCAGGTCCAAGTTTCTTATTTTTGTTCACTAAAAGGCAATGGAAGTGCTAATGTGTTAAATATTTCCCTAACATTATATTTCCAAGTAAGTAATTACAGTAGTTGTTACATGGATGTTATGTTGTACTGAGTGAAAGGGAGAGGTGGTATATTAACTTGAGAGAGGATAATTGATTGACAAGATTCTTTGCATTAAAATATAGTTGTCACTATAAAAATGTTTTTGAAAAACTCAGTCCAAAAAAAATACAAATTTCAACAAGCTTAAGTCACTAGTAGGGCAAGTGCTGTGGGACCAGGGACCAAAGGTGAAAGGTGTACAGAAAGAGTGGTTGTTCCTAAAGGACACGATCCTTGAAGCACAAAGGAAGTCCATTCCCATATGGAGAAAAGGTAACAGAAGGGCTGGGAAGCCATCTTGGCTAAACAGGGAAATCATGGTCCTCTTAAGAAAGAAGAAAGAGACTTATAAACAATGGAAGCTCGGGGCGGGCCCCAAGGAGGACTATTCAATGACGACCCACATTATCTGGGAACAGATAAGACGGGCTAAAGTGGCGACCTAACTTAGATTAGCAAAGGGAGTCAAGGACAACAAGAAGTCCTTCTTTAGGTACACAGGAAACAAGAGGAAAAATGAGTGTGGGGCCATTGCTCAACAACTTAGGAGAGTTTGTTACCGGTACCCAGGAGAAAGCTGGACTCCTGAATGACTACTTTGCCTCGGTCTTTCACTGGACCAAGGAGAAAACCACACCAGGTAGAGTAGAGAGTGAGTACAGTAGGAATAATTGCCTTCCTACTATTGCCATAGAATTGGTGTATGACAACAACAAAAAAAACGCTAGATGTATACAGATCATAGGGACTGGATGATCTTCATCTGAAAGTGCTGAAGGAGCTGGCTGAAATCATTGCAGAACCCCTAGTGAAACTCTTCCACAACTTGTAGTGGTCTGGAGAAGTCCCTGAGGCCTGGAAGAGGGCCATTGTTGTACCCATCCACAAGAAGGGCAGGAGAGAGGACCCAGATAACTCTAGGCCAGTCAGCCTAACTTCCATCTTAGGGAAAATCCTACAAAAGTTCATCCAGGAGTCTATCTGCAATAAGCTTGCAGAAGGTAAGATTCTGAGTGACAGCCAGCATAGCTTTATTACAGGCAGGTCTTCCCTTACCAGCCTCATCTCCTCCTATGACCAGCTAACTCGCCACCTGAACATGAGAGAGTAGGTTGACATTGTATACCTAGACTTCCAAAAGGCCTTTGATCTAGTATCCCGCAATGTCCTCATGAGAAAATGGGAGAATTATGGGCTTAACTCCAAGACAGTCCGGTGGGTGAGAAACTGGCTGCAGGATGGAACCCAGAGAGTCGTAGAGAACAGATTTGTCATCCTGGTGAGCAGTGGGCAGAGTATCCTGCAGGGGTCAGTACTCAGTCCAGTACTTTTCAACATCTTTATTAGCAATTTGACCTGGGGGTGATAATAGACCACAGTATAAATATGAGCCAGTAGTGCAATGCTGTAGCCAGTAGAGCAAATAATACTCTGGCGTGCACCAATTGATGCATCTCCAGTAAGACCAAGGAGGCGATTCTTGCGTTCTACGCAGCACTGGTGAGACTGCAGTTGGAGTATTGCATCCAGTTCTGGGCACCACGCTTTAACAAGGACATGGACAAGCTTGAGAGAGTCCAAAGAAGAGCCACCTGTATGATTAGAGTCTTAAAAAACAAGCCATACGTGGAAAGGCTGAGGGAACTGGGACTCTTCAGCCTGAGGAAAAGAAGGCTGAGAGGGGACCTGGTAGCAGCTTACTGCTACACTAGGACAGTACATCAAGGGCTCAGTAAGCAACTGTTTACCAGGGCACCCTTGGGGAAAACCAGAAGTAATGGCCACAAACTCCTGGGAGACTGATTCAGGCTCAACATTAGGAAAAACCTTTTCATAGGGTGTCCAGACTATGGACCAAGCTCCCTCCAGAGGTGGTGCAATCGCCTACCCTAGAAATCTTCAAGAGGAGATTGGACAGTCACTTTGCTGGGGTCACCTGACTCCCAGTTATCTTTCCCGCTTGGTGCAGGAGGCTGGACCCAGTGATCTTCCAAGGTCCCTTCCGGTCTTACAATCTATGAATCTATGAAAGTATAGTGGACCTTTACAGCTGTACACTTTTATCCTATGAAGGAAACTTTGTTTTTAACGCAGCAAGTTACTTTAAAAAAGCTGTTCAAAACCCATTTTTTATCTTTCAATACTGAAGGTTCTGGACATCCTGCAGCATATTCAGGCCTTGGACCCATCTCAGCATGGAGCAGTAGGATATTTGGTTCAACATACCCTGGAACATATTGAACGCCGGAAAGAGGAAGTGGGGCCAGAGGTGAAGCACCGTTCTGATGAGAAGCACAAAGATGTTTGCTTTTCCATTGGGTTGATAATGAAACACAAGAGGTGAGTGCCCCTTAAATCTTTTACACTACTTGCAGGCTGCACTGGAAACTTGTTCTGTGGAGTGCATATAGAATGGATTTTTTTCCTTATTCTAACTGAGTTGCATATTTACTACATGGAAGAGGAGGACTTTGAAAAGCATCTGAGGAAGAATATGCTAGCTTTATTGCATATACATTGTGTATCACTCTGGAGATCTGAAACTTGCTTTCATTGTCTTCTGAAGTATAGAATATATTGCCCTTGCTTTACTCCAGGGGTGGGCAAAATATGGTCCATGGGCCAAATCCAGCCCGCGAGGCCATTGTATCCAGCCTGCAGTGCCCCTAAAAAATTTAGAAAATTAATATTTGTCTGCCCTTGGTTCCTGTCAAAAATGACAGGAACCAAGGGTAGTAGGACCCAGGGGAAAGCCGGTGGGCTCCCACAACAGCAGGGCCCACCTGGCCCTGCCCTACCAGCCAAAAGCCTCAGCAGGGGCTTCTGGCCTGGGAGCACGTGGTTGCCCTGCGCTGGAACTTCAGGTAAGGGGGAAGGGGTGGGATGAAGGGCAGGGGAGGACCCTAGGCAGGGAAGAAGCCCAGGGAAAAGTGTCCTGGGGAAAGCGGCCCCTCGCCTGCTCCGTGGCTGGTGCCCCACACTGCAGCCACTCGCAGCCTGCATGGGGCTGTCTAGAGCAGGCACAGGTAGCCCCAGATGGGCTGCAAGTGGCTGCAGCAGAGAGCACGGGCCATGGGCCGAGTGAGGGGCCACTTTTTCCCCCGTGCTCAGCACCAGCTTTTTCCCTGCTGGTGAGCAGGGGGTTGGGGCTGTGTGCAGCCCCCCTCCTGTACTGCGGGGTTGGGGGGCACTGGGAGTGAGCAGGTGCAGGAGCACGGGGCCCTCACTAGTGCCCAGGGGCCAGTGCCAGCAGGGCCCAGAGCAGGGTGGCAGGAGCACAGGGTCCTGGCTGGCAGGGGCTCTGTGGAGCGAAGCCAGCTCCCCACTCCCTGCTGGTGCAGCCCAGCCTGACTCCACAGACCCCTGCCAGCCTGTGCTCTGCTTTGGGCCCCACTGGTGCTGGCCCTGGGATATTGGTCACAAAACATTGGGACACTGGTGCCAAGATGGTGACCAGGGGTGGGGCACCTGTCATGGGGCGGGGCTACCCATGTGGCCCTCGACAGCCTGCCAAAACTGTAAGTGGTCCTCCGCCCAAAATAATTGCCCTCCCCTGCTTTACTCAGTGAAAGAATCATTAAGCTGACCCATCTGAATCTTGATCCCCAGCATACTGGTAGAGAGATGCTCCTTCAGCTGTTCTTCTAACCCACTAAGTGCATCAAAATCAGATTTAAGATCATGAGGGGAATTTTGACCTTTCAGTTGCTGCTGTACAATTCATCACTTATCAATAGGCTTGGTAGGATTAATTTTTTTCTTGATGAACATCAATTTCACCTGTCACTCAGACCGATGGAAAAATATTTCTGTCCGTAATAATCAAAATGTTATAGAAAGTATGTGTATATAGAAAAAAATGTCTGGGACTGGGGTAAAGAAATCCAGGGCAGGGGGCATGTGCAGTGGCAGCTGCAGATGGGGTAAGGGGAGCTCTGGCTGTGCCACCTGCGCACTGCTCCTCTGGCAGTGGCTTGGGGAGCTGCTGCAGAAGCTGGGACTGTGCTGGGAGAGGAGGATGAAGGAACAGGACTGTTCGCAGCCAGGAAGCTGATGCTGTTGGCTGCTCACTCTGCCTAGATCCCAGCTGGGAATTAGGTGGCGACTCCTGCTGAGCCACTGAACTTGGTCCTTCCCCTGTGTGATGGGGCTCAGTGGGAGTTTAGCCCTTGCCCCAATTATGTAGGAGCTCTGGGAACATGGGAAGAGGCAGTGGGTGTCGAGCCTGGGGTGGGAAGCAGCTCCCTGCTCCTTGCAGCAGTTTAGGGGGGCAAGCCCTGTTTGGTGGGCACCAGCAGAGGGGCAGGCCGGTTCTGATGTCCATGGTCTCCTGCCTCTCTGGGTGGTGTAGGGGCAGTGGCTGGGCCCTGGGGGCACCCCCACGCATCCTGCCCCAATTATTCACACTGCCTCTCCCCATATTCCCAGAGCTCTGGCCCAGCTCCTGCTGCTTGGGGCAGGGTACACAGAGATGTCCATGGGGCCTGCCAATGCCCCTGCACCACCCAGAAGGGCAGGAGGCCATGGCCATTGGAGCCGGGCCACTCCTCCATTAGTGCCTGCCAGGTGGGCCTCACTCCCTAAGGGGCCTCAGGGAGCTGCTTCCTGCCCCTGGAAGCCCTCCTTTTCTGGTCCCTGCCTGCCTTGCTCTTTCTTGATGAATAAACAGAATGATTTAAAGCAGGTATGACTGACTGATTTATAGGTGTTTACTTTTATATATTTTAACATAACATATTTTAATAAGGCTTTTATATATTTTAACATAACATATTTTTATAAGGCTTTTAACAGTATACTATTATTACTCAATTGTCTGTCCTCTATGGTCCTAATTCTGTGCAATCCTAAAAACTTAAATTGATAAACATTGAAAGAAATGCTTATAAATGTATATCAATTTTGGCCATCAAAATTAAAAAAAAAATAAATAAAAATTGGATTCTGCCAGCCTACTAAAAAAAAAAAAAAAAGCCTTTGTTTCTGGGATTTTCACCAGAACGCTGTAATCACAATGTCAGGAATGAACAAAATTGCCCACCCAACAGAACGGTCACCTTGTTAAAAAATCAGTGTAAGCTAAAGGTCAGTTTGCATTTTAATAGCTTGACAGCAAGATTCTCTTCTAGTATTTGACTGGAATTATAGCAAATAAGTTTGTATTTCTTCTCCACCCCTCTCCCCCACAATTTTGGGAGAACACATGTTTTTTCCTTTCCAGCTATTAACATTTTGTTTTGATTATTTGCTTTGGTTTTCAAGTTCACTGTAATTGGTGCTAGATACTGCTTGTAGTCTTCCCTAGCTCATATTTGTACTTGAATCATGTGAGGATTCAGTTTGTTTGAAAGAAACTTGACAAAACCATTACAATTGTGTAAGTTGGCTCAAGCTATTAGATAGCAAGCTATTTGTTACCCCAGAAGACAGAATTAGGGCTAGCGTGTGAGGCTATTACAAGCTTAGGCTTCACTGGTTAGACATTCTTGCAACCCAAGTCTTCAGAAGATACTGTTTTAATTGGGGGTTGTACTTCTCATCTTTGACCAACAAGCTGTTTCATAATCATGTGCAGCTGACAGAGCTCTGTGTTGCAAGAGTTGTGGGTTACTGCATGCTATGCTGTTCTGTTCTAGGTGCTGAATACTGTAGTGAAGGGTAGGCTGGGACTGTTCAACCTTGGAGTAAGAAGAGAGAGGTGTCAGCATCTCTGAAGTGATTTAAGGGATGGGGGTGAGGCAGGAGCAGTGGTAATATTGCTTTTTCAGCCTTTGAAGGGAGAATAAAGCTGTTTGGTTCAGTCAAGGAAACAAGTGTTTTCTTTATTTAAAAAAAAATCTGTTCGTTGACCACTAAAATAAAATAGAAGAAGTTCCAGTCGGCTGTCACATTAGAGGGAATATTATTAAATGATCTCTGTCATGAGAAGTGTGTACTTGCCAAATGGATAGGATTAAAAATTAGCATCGTAACGGCTCCATTACATACTAGCATATTCAAAATGACTTTTCAGTGGCTCTCCCCAAGCTTAAGGTGGAACACTGCAATTCTTAATCTTCAGCAGTCGGTGGTGGTCTTAATATGTGATTACCAAAAAACCCGCACTGGATAAACACTGCTTTAAGGCTGCAAAGTTGAGCACTCAGAAATTGGGAAATGCCAGTTAAGGTTGTCTTTGCATCCTTAATTCTTCCCCAGCTGCCCAAATGTATATGTATTACAATCCTAGTTACTTTTTATTGTATGCATTAAAGTTACAAATATTTGTTACCTAGTTACAAATAATTAAGTTACTTTATAAAGTAACTGAGTAACACATGATAAAATTACAATTTATGGCGTCCTTTCTCCCCACCCAGGAAGTCCCACATCATTCACTGCACAGTCTGTACTTGCTCTAAGACTGAATTGGTTATGAGGTAAAGGGGGCTCTTGATATGCAGGCCCAAGGTGTTTAGTGACAGTGGTATTGTAGGAGAAGGGTACCCTATAGAAAAAGAAATATGTGATCATATAATTGTATACAACAATGTTGAAATAAGTTTGGATAAGAACTAGTTTTTCTTAACAATAGAATACTTAATTTAGCAAATGTAATGTTCTTTCAGACTTGCCATTCTTATGTGTTACTCCCTTTTAACCCCCCCCCC